GCAGGGTAATCTCATCTTCCTAGCTCCTCTCCACACCCATTCAGGCACCGTCAGACTTCGCGAATGCAGCGCTTCGGCCGCGCTTTCGACGCGATCTATGTGCATGCTTTCGAATGCACTGACCGCGTCGAACGCGCGACCGAAGCGCTGCATTCGCGAAGTCTGAACGGTGCCTCAGAGCCAACAGAGGAAGACATAAGTTACCTTGAGATTTGGCACAGGAAACACGGATGTAGCTGTTGTAGAGTGGAGAATGGGGTCGCACTTCTTGTATCCGCACCTTTCGTAGAAGATCACTTGATCGTCAGTACAGAGGTAGGCCTGCAACATTGAATATCAAGAGTGGTCTACATGAGCCTACCAAAAATTCACAGGAGCTATTATTTTGTCCCAAAACGATCTTACAAAGCTATATGTAAATCAAAAAATGGAGGCAACGATTTAGGAGATGAGTCTGCTCTCACTGCTGCAACATCTACGCTGCGACGACGCGGCGTTGCTGGGGGCGTCATGTGCGCGGCATTCGCACCAGGACCTGTGGTTTGACGAGAAGTACTACAGAGTGTACATGATCAGCTAGGAGATACTAACAAGTTACTGCGCGGCGTCGCAGCGTACACATTTTCGCTGTATACCCTGCTGCATATCAGGGTGGCAGGGTTTGACCGGCGCCAACCCTCAATGGTAAAAAACGGGCTGGAGCCCCGCCGAACCCACCCGCCTGACATGACCCAGCGTGTGCACTGAAAACGACTATAAATCTCTCGACCAACAACCCTACCGCGTTTATTTAGACCTACAGTCAAAATGAACCTCATCAAATCCGAATCCTTTGGCTGCATCCTCCAAAGATGCCATCAATAGTTTCCCCAGACCAAGTCCACGACACTCTTTTTCGACAATCACAGACTCAATCCAGCATGCAGTTGGCCTGTAAGAAATCAAAATATGTAAAAGGATGTACTCAGTCCTGGCCAACTTCCTTTATCAGAGCATATGTCGAAAAACTGACTGGAATTTGTAACTAGTGATGGTGGGACAAACATACGAATGAGTTGGAGCAAGTGGTGATCACGCGACGTCGCGCACTTTTGGTCATGCAACATCCGCGGCGATTGTTTCGGGCGTAACCCTTTCA